TGCTCTTTGTCCTCCTGTGCACCTTCAGTGCATTTTAATATTCAGGTTCTTGCACATCCTCTCTGGGGTGGGTTTTCCTTGTCCTTTGGGACAGTTTTTCTCTCTTCACAAGTCTGAGACAATCTAGAGAGCAGAAATCATTTCTGCCTTTTCCTCTCAATTATCAGCATCCGAGTGGCAGACCTTTGATGTGTCTCCGAGGAATAAAAACTCGGGCTGGAGGAACAATTTTAGTCACCTAGCTTTAACGACATTACGTTGTATTGTTCATTAGTTTTAATTTCCTAAAATTTTAATAACCCTAAGGGGTCACCATTTTAGATGAAACTATACCAGGAGATTCCTCTAAGGCCAAGAGCATCCAGCTGCTCCCCTGAGCGACTCTACCCCCTACCTCAGGCTGTCCTTGGCGATGAGATGACCCCAGGGCTGATGCTCACTAGACCCTCCAATAGACATGGCCACAGTGGGTATCCTGGGTCATCCCCACACAGTTCTAAAATGCCAGGACTAGGAAAAGACAGGAGGGTGGCTGAGGACACAACACCCTGTAAAGTTTTCACGGGGGGACCTCGACCTAAAGACATTTTGGTCATATGTACACTTAGGAAAGATGAAAAGAAGAGAGGCACAAAGATTTTTTTTACAGTAGAGTGTCAGATGATTTATTCTCCGCTTTCCTCTCCTGTAAAGTGCTTGGAAACAGAAACATATTTTGGCCAAGGTGGCTCACGCCTGTAATCCCAAGCGCTTTAGGAGGCCGAGGCGGGCGATCAATTAAGGTCAGGAGTTCGAAACCAACCTAGCCAACATGCCGAAACCCTGTCTCTACTAAAAATACAAAAATTAACTGGACGTGGTGGTGGGCGCTTATAAGCCCAGTTACTTGGGAGGCTGAGGCAGGAAAATCGCTTGAACCCGGGAGTCAGGGGTTGCAGCGAGCTGAGACTGCACCATTGCACTCCAGCCTGGCGACAGGGTGAGACTCCGTCTCAAAACAAAACAAAACAAAACAAACAATATATATATATATGTGTGTGTGTATATATATGTATGGTTTGCTTCCTCATTAACCTTATCAAAGCCTCTCATTTACGCCCCTCCAGTGGACCCCAAACCACAAACCATGACTGCGGTACCCGGTTTGTGAATCACGGTTTGCTCAAACACACCGTTTCACGTTTTAACAAAGCCTCAGGTTAATTTTTGGGGGAGAAAGGTGGGACTGGAAGCCCCATGAACCACAGCTTCTCCCACGCTGGAACCCCGCTCACCGAGTCGGGGCTCTCCCGGATCACCCTCCAGTGGTCACCGCACTACCTGGGTGGGGGAGGCGCGGGGTTCCGGAGAGGGCTCCGGCCGGCGGAAGTGGCGCCCGCAGGTACAGACAGGACGCAGGGGTCCCGCTGCCCGCCCCGCCCGGCCTGCACAGAAGGGGACTGAGGCCCGGCTGCGCCGCGGAGACTCGGTCCGCAGGTTCCGCAGCCGATGGCTGGCTCCAGCAGGTTTCAACCAGCTCTCTTCCCCACTTCGGGAAGCCAGGCGCAGTCCACTCACCATTCCTCGGCTCCCCGGGTGTCCCGGCGTCAGCGAGGGATGTCCCAATACCCGCAGGTCACAGGGTGGCAGAGGCTACTGCAGAGCCACCTGGGCCTCCCAGAGCCAAGAAGTAGCAGCGGAGACTCACAGAAAGAGCCTACTGCGGCCAAGGCCAGACAAAGCGCCCGCCAGCCGGATCCCGGAAGCCGCCCTCTCCTTTCCGGCGGCGCGCCTGATTGAACGCTCCCCGCCCCAACGCCCCTGATTGCAGGGGGCTTCAGGCCCCGCCCCCTCAGGCCCTGAGTGACAGGAGATTGCGCTCTCCCGCGAGGCTGGATGAGGCCAGAATGACCGTTTTGGCCTAGCGGTTTGTAGAGGGTGCGTCCTTCCTGCCCTGGGATCTCACCATGCAAGGAGGACATTCGCATTTAACCTTGTGTACAAGGTTATAGCTATTTGTGCATAAAGTATATATAAAATTGCAAGCAATATAATGACAATTCTGTAACTGCCCAGTGGGTTCACCTTGCCCGCTACCTAGACAGAGCCGATATCTCAAGACCGGGGAATAGCAAGAGAGAAGGAGTAATTCACGCAGAGTCGGCTGTGCGGGAGACTGGAGTTTTTAATTTTATTTTATTTTTCTGAAACAGAGTCTTGCTCTGTCGCCCAGGCTGGAGTGCAGCCTCGGAGTTTTATGATTATGCAAATCAATCTCCCTGAGCATTTGGGGATAAGAGTATTTAGAAAGTTTATTTTGCCAAGGTTGGGGATGCTTGTGCATGACACAGCCTCAGGGTATCCTGATGACAGTGGCCCAGGGTTGTCAGAGCACAGCTTGGTTTTGTTGGAGATAAATGCTCGGTGCCGCAAAGCGAAACCAGCACTCAAGCGAAAGTTTTCTCAGCCACGCAATTTACCTTTGCAGAAGCGTGCTGCTCGCATCAATCGCAATCGCGAAGAGCACACGGAACAAAGGAAAGCAGGGGTTTTTATTCCTAACGCAATCCCTACCTCTGGCATGGGCTAGGGCCAGACCTCAAGATCTAAACCAATCCGGTTGGCTATTTGTGAATATTTTCCCAAATAAGGAAGGGGGAAGGGGGATGTGAGTTACAACGGTGGGACGTGTGGTTTCGAAGGGAGAAATGGGTGCAGAGCAGGTAACCAAGGGAACAGATGTGAGTTATTGATTAGAACTGACGGGAAGGTTGTTTACAGTAACTAAGGGCAAGGAGACATGGAGAACAAGAAAGTTGAGTTCCAGAACAAAAAAACAAGAACGTTTTGAGTTCCAGAACAAAAAACAAGAATGCCAAACCTTGGAAGCGAAACTGACTGTATCTGACAGTTTTATACATTTTAGGGAGACAGGAGACATCAATCAACATATGAAAGATGAACACTGGTTCGTTCTGGTACAACCTGAAGCAAAAGTGGGTCAACTCGAAGCCAGGAGGGGGCTTCCAGGTCACAGGTAGGTGAGAGACAAACGGTTGCATTCTTCTGAGTTTCTGATGAGCCTTTCCAAAGGAGGCAATAAGATATGCATGCTTCTCAGCGAGCAGCGGATGACTTTGAATCGAATGGGAGGCAGGTTTGCCCTAAGCAGTTCCCAGATTGACTTTTCCCTTTATCTTAGTGATTTGGGGGCCCCAAAATATTTTCTTTCCAATTTCCCCCTTTTGTTTTAAAAATATTTTGGAGAAAGCATTTTAGAAGAAAATCAGTCTCTGGTGCCAGGTTTTGTCTGATTTCTCATGGAGTAGCTGGCATTACAGGCACGCGACACCACACCTGGCTAATTTTTTTTTTTTTTTTTTTTTTTTTTTGGTAGAAACGAGGGTCTCCCTCGGTTGCCCAGGCTGGTCTCTGGTGCCCAAGGCGGGGCTCCCCCTAATCTCTACAAATAATCCAGTGAAGGAACACCAGAGCGTGGAAAGCGGAGGACGACCGACAGAGGACTCCCCAGTAGGTTTTCACTTCAAGCTCTAGGGTAAGTAGGGCGCTGGGAGAATTCCAGGGAAACCTCGGGAAAATGTGAGTCAGGCTGAGAGTAAGTTCGCTAATTACTTAAGCCTTGTGCGGCAGTTACTGCGCCGCGGAGGGGTAATTGTGAGTACCCAAAATCTCACATCTTTGTTCCATCTGGTAGACAAGTATTCTCCTTGGTTCCCAGAATATGGAACCGTGAATGTAAAAGATTGGGACAAGGTCGGATCAGACTTAAAACGAGCACAACAAGAGGGCCACGATATTCCCGTCTCTGCTTGGTCTGTGTGGTCGGCAATTAAAGCAGCACTGGAGCCCTTCCACACTGAGGAGAAGGAGGAGTTCCAGGATGACATAGGAAAGTTGAATAATCAGGAGTCTAATTATCAGCTAAGTGAACCATGACAGTCTAGTTTAAAAAAGGGCGAGAAATGGGAAGGTATGTATGCTAATCTCCAAAAGCTTATAAAAGAAACAGTGTCACCTACTGCGCCTTTAGGGAAAGGTCTGGAATGGCCACCCCCAGGCCAGCCTTAGGAATTTTTGGAAGGGGAGCCTGACAGGCGCCTTGGGGCTCCCATTGTTGCAGGCCCCGCCAGTAACTATGGTGAAGGGAAGCTTCAGGCTTGTCCAACAGCCAATCATGATGAGGGAATGATCCAGGCTTGCCCACCTGTTAATTATGGTAGAGGAATGCTGCGAGCCGGTCCAAATACAAATTATGGCACAGGGACAATCCAGGCATCCATTCGCCAGGCACAAGAAATGGGGGATTTGAATGCTTGGCAGTTTCTGGTAATTCTTTCGCCAGCTGAGGAGCCCAGAGAACTTGCTCAAGCATGCTGGGAGCCATTTCCTTTTAAAATATTAGAAGACTTAAAGCAAGCAATTGGACAAGATGGGCCAAATTCTCCTTATGTTCATTCCTTGTTACAATGTGTGGCTTATAACAGACGTTGAATACCTACAGATTGGAAGGCACTAGCCCGATACACCCTGTCCCCCTCTGAATTTCTCCAATTTAAAACCTGGTGGATGGATGAAGCAACAAATCAGGCACGCAGAAACGCTCAAGTCCAATATCCCGTTAATATCACATCTGATCAATCGCTTGGAATTGTACAGGCATGGGGTACTCTAAATCAACGGATGGTAATGGGTGATGAGGCTGTTGATCAGCTCAGAACTACATGCCTAAGAGCCTGGGAAAAGAATTCACAACCCTGCTACTGCTTATCCTTCTTTTAACACAGTTCAACAGGGTCCAAGGGAGCCTTATCCAGATTCTATTGCCTGTTTGCAGGATGCGGCTCAAAAGGCTATTTCCGATTCTCATGACAAGAAAGTGATCGTTCAGCTGCTTGCTCATGAAAATGCTAATACAGAAGGTCAGGCAGCAATTAGACCTATTAAGGGAAAGGCAGATCTAAATGAGGAAAAAACTTTAAGTGAATACATTAAAGCCTGTGATGGCATTGGGGGGCACCTCACCCATCGCGGGGGGTGCCTCAGCCAACTTCGATGTGGATGGTAACAGCGAGGGGGAGAGAGGGGTTGCTATTACTCCCCATTATGATGTGGATCGTAATAATGACTCCCCCCTGCAATGTGTGTCCATTATTAGCAGTCTTTTTAGTTCAGGATATTAGGAACAATTTCACAGGTTGTGTGTACACAGCCTGCCATAGGAGAACGAACACCATCCTCTGCACCTCCGGATATTAGGAACCATATCACACAACGGGTGTACACTTTTTGGGAGATTTGGGGTAATGTCGTCCTGTGTTTCCCTGAACAATCAGAGACACATCGCAGGGCGGCTGTACACCCGCTACTCTCTCGGCAGGAACATCATACTGCTGGAAATTAGGAGCAATATCACAGACTGGGTGTCAAGCCACTGTCATATTGGAAGTAATATGCTCTCCCCCACAAGTTATGAGGAACAATATCACAGGAGGGTGTACCTTCTCCGGTAGTGGGAGTAGTATCATCATCTCTTCCTTTAGATGACAGGAACAATATCATAGGGTGGGTGTACACCTCGTGTGTTTTTGGAAGGAATGTCATTCTCTCTTCTAGGTTTTACAATTCATATCGCAGGCGGGGTGCACACCCCTTGTTATATTGGATGGAATCTCAATCCTCTTTCAACTTGTATCTTTAGAACAATATCCCATGGGGGCTGTACATCCCTTCAATATTGGTAGTAATGCCATCTTCTCCTTTCCTGGATATAAGAAACAAGATCACAGGAGGGGTGTACACCCCTTGCAATATTGGTAGTAATATCACCTCTCCCCTGTGGTTATTAAGGACAAAATCCCAGGGTGGCTGTATGGTTCCTACTTTATTGGGAGTAATATCATCCACTCACACCCTGGATATCAGGAACCATATCACAGAAGAGTTGTCCACCCCCTTCAATATTGTCAGCCATGTCATCTTCTTCCCGCCTGGATATTAGGAACGATACCCCAGGGTTGGGGGTGGTGTACACCCACTGCGATATCGAAAGTAAAATCAGCCTCTACCCCGCGGCATATTAGGAACAATATACGGGGGGCAGGGTGGTTACACCCCCTGCGATATTGAGAGCAATATTCTTCTCTCTCCCCTGTACATTAGGGTCTACATCACAGGGGTCTGTACACCTTCCGCGATAACGGGATTAATGTTGTCCTCTCCCCGACTGAATGTCAAAAACAATATCACAGAAGGGTGTACACCCCCTGCGATATGGCCAGTAATATCATCGTCTCTACCTTTGGATACTAGGAACAACATCACAGAGGGTGTGTACACTCCCCTGCAATATTGTGCATAATGTTATCCTCTCTTCCTCTGGATATTAGGACCGATATCCCTGGTGGTGGGAGGTGGAGTACATTAAGAACAATATCACTGGGTGGGTGTACACCCCCTGCGATACTGGGTGTAGTATCATCCTCTCTTCCCTAGAATATAAAGAACAATATCACAGGAGGGGTGCACAGCCACAGCTTGCAAGACCATGAGGAGCCCTCCTTCTGCTTGGAAGCTGAGGACGACTGGCAGGACCCAGAGGCCCTGAGCTCACTGCTGCTGTTCCTGAATGCCCCCGGGTACAAGGCCAGCTTCTGTGGCCTGTACGATGTGGCACTGCCATGGTTGAGCAGCGTGTTCTGCAGCTTTAGCGACGAGGAGGAGCTGACTGGGCGCCTGGCACAGGCCCGAGGGGCAGCCAAGAAAGCTGGCCTCCTCTTGGCCCTGGCCAGGCTCTGCTTCCTCCTGGGGCGGCTGTGCAGCAGAAGACTCAAGCTGTCCCAGGCCCGGGTATACTTTGAGGAAGCACTGGGGGCCCTGGAGGGCAGCTTCGGGGACCTGTTCCTGGTGGTGGCTGTGTACGCCAACCTGGCCAGCATTTACCGGAAGCAGAAGAACAGGGAGAAGTGTACACAGGTGGTTCCCAAAGCCATAGCCCTGCTCCTGGGGACACCCGGCCACATCTGCAGCACCGAGGCGGAGGGGGAGCTCCTGCAGCTGGCGCCACGGTGGGTGGTGGGTGGCCAGAGCCTGCAGGCCGAGGCCCGGGCCTGCTTCCTGCTGGTCAGGCACCACGTGCACCTCAAGCAGCCCGAGGAGGCCCTGCCCTTCCTAGAGCGGCTGCTGGTTTTGCACAGGGACTCGGGAGCCCCAGAGGCTGCGTGGCTCTCAGACTGCTCCCTACTCCTGGCTGACATCTACAGCCGCAAGTGCCTGCCCCACCTGGTGCTGAGCTGTGTCAAGGTGGCCTCATTGAGGACACAGGACTCGCTGGCCAGCTCGCTGGGAAGCGTAAACCTGGTGCTCCAGAACGCCCTCCAGCCCCATGGCCTCCCCACCCAGACTTCGCATTACTTCAGGCGAGCGCTGGCCTCCCTAACCCCGGGCACAGGCCAAGCGCTGCGCGGCCTTCTCCACACCAGCCTGGCCCAGCTGTACAGCCACCATGGCTACCACGGCCCGGCCATCACCTTCATGACGCAGGCGGTGGAAGCCAGTGCTGTTGCCGGAGTCCGTGCCATTGTGGACCGCCTGGTGGCCCTGGCCTGGCTGCACGTGCTTCACGGGCAGAGCCCGGTGGCCCTGGACATCCTGCAGTCTGTCCAGGATGCAGTGGTGGCCAGCGAGGACCAGGAGGGTGTGATTGCCAACATGGTGGCCGTGGCTCTGAAGAGGACGGGCCGGACGAGGCAGGCAGCCGAGGGCTACTACCACGCCCTACGGGTGGCTCGGGACCTGGGCCAGCGGAGGAACCAGGCAGTGGTGCTGGCCAACTTCGGGGCCCTGTGCCTGCACGCGGGTGCCAGCAGGCTGGCCCAGCACTACCTCCTGGAGGCCGTGCGGCTGTTCTCGAGGCTGCCCTGTCGGGAGTGTGGCCGGGACTTCACCCACGTGCTCCTGCAGCTGGGCCACCTCTGCACCCGCCAGGGCCCGGCCCAGCAGGGCAAGGGCTACTATGAGTGGGCCCTTCTGGTCGCCGTGGAGATGGGCCACGTGGAGAGTGAGTGCCCTGGTTCCTCCTGTGCGCCTTCTGGGGCCACTCGGGTCAGGGCACACCTGGGGTTTGTGATTCAGAAACAAGTGGTGGTTTTTCCACCATCGAAAATGCTGAGTCGTGGCCAACAGCAGATGTTGGCAAGCGCCCTGGAGACAGGTGGTTCCCACACAGGGCCAGGTCCTCTGTGCCCTACTGGGGCAGCCAGCTCTTCCCGGTTTGCCCAGGGACCATCCTGCCTTGAGCACTGAAAGTCCTGCAAGCTGGGAATCCCTAGACATAACCCTGGGATCAAGGCAGGCTCTGCTGAGCTGGGACTTGGGGCCCCTGCACGAGCCAGGCCCTGAACGCCGGTTCTTGTGCCCGTGTTATCTGCTTGGTATCTCGGCAGCCTGCGCACCTGTCATCCCACTTCACAGAGGACACAGGGGCGGGCGATGGCCCAAAGCCGCAGAGCAGTTCATGCAAAAGCAGCTCGTTGGGCAGAGTGTGCCAGGCCCCACCCACAAATGGGGCTTGTGGGGTCCTCGGGTGGCAGGGGCTGAGCGTGGGAATGTGAGCTTCAGGCCAGAGAAGCCACAAAAGGGTGAGTGGTGTGATGGCGGGGCAGCACTTGGCCCCGGGTTAGGGAAGCCTCTTTAGTCTGGGACCAGAGGGTTGAGAGAATTTAGTCAAGTAATAGGTGGTGGGGGAGGGGCTGGTGGTGGGGGAGGGGCTGGTGGTGTAGCCTGTGTGAAGGCCCAGGGGTGAGCGAGTGGGGGTGAGTGAGCGGGGATGAGTGGGGTGTGAGTGGTGGTGAGTGGTAGTGAGTGAGTGGGGGTGTGATGGGGGTGAGTGAGCGGGAGTGTGAGCAGGGATGAGTGGGGTGTGAGTGGTGGTGAGTGGGGGTGAGTGAGTGGAGGTGTGATGGGGGTGAGTGAGTGGGAGTGTGAGCAGGGATGAGTGGGGTGTGAGTGGTGGTGAGTGAGTGGGGGTGTGATGGGGGTGAGTGAGCGGGAGTGTGAGCGGGGATGAGTGGGGTGTGAGTGGTGGTGAGTGAGTGGGGGTGTGATGGGGGTGAGTGAGCAGGAGTGTGAGCGGGGATGAGTGGGGTGAGTGGTGGTGAGTGAGTGGGGGTGAGTGGGGTGTGAGTTGGGGTGAGTGAGCAGGGCTTATGCAGGGAGGTGCAGAGTTGGGAGTGGGTGGGTTGGGTGCTGGATGGTGAGAAGCTCTTCTGGAGAGCTACGCAGGGCCTGGGGCCTCAGGCTGTGCTTGGCCTTTTCCCCAAGAGCACTGGGGAGCCATGGAGTGCTATAGAACAGTCACTGCAGACTGAGCAGTGAACGGACAGTAGGTGGGCAGGGCTGTCCGAAATCTAGGCCGCAGAGGATAGATGAGGAAGTTGAGTCCAGGGAAATGGCTGAGACAAGCGATACTGTTGTGGGTCCCCTCTGCCTTGCAGCGCTTTGTCCATTCTCCCAGGATGGACGTCACGGCATAGTGAGACCACTCAGAGGTGCCTCCTGTGGCCTGGCCCAGAGCCCCAGGGGCTGTGGCCAAATCTGCCCATTTCCCAGCATAGGCCTGGCACCCACTCCTGGCCCTAGGAGGGATGAGATTTTGGAAAGGACCATGTGAAGGGGCCCCGGTCCCACACATCTGCCCAAGGAGGGGTAGGGGGTTCAGACCCAGGCTTCTTCCCCAGGGGCATTCTCTGACTTGAAGGAGACCCTCCAGGAACCCAGCACCCCCAGCCCCCACTGCAGCCTCCGGTGGCTCCTGGCACAATAGTCTGTGGCACCTCCTCCTACGAGGCCCTCCCCGGGGTGCTGGGGGATTCAGACTTGGAAATGCAGGCCAGGGAACGGGGATCATGCTTCCCTGTCTCCCCACCCTGCGCTGAACAGTCGAGGAGACCGAGGGCGGGGCTGATACCCCACAGGCTTACTTGGGGTCATTTCTGAGTCACTTTCGGTAATTTGTGTCTTTCTAGGAGTTTGGCTGTTGTGTCTAGATGGTCTGATTTGTTGGTGTACAATTGTCTGCAGTGTTTTCATGGAATCCTTTTATTTCTGTCAGGTGGGCAATAAGGTTTCCTCTTTCATTTCCGATTTTAGAAACTTGAGTTTTTAATTTTTTATTTATTTATTTTTATTAGAGATGGGGTCTCATCATGTTCCCCCAGGCTGGTCTTGAATGCTGGCCTCAGCGATCCTTCCAGCTCGGCCTCACAAAGCGCTGGGATGACAGGCGTGAGCCATGGTGCTCAGTCTCTGATTTTAGTCATTTGTGTCCCGTCTTTCTTTTCTTGGTCAGTCTGGTGAAAGATTTGTCAATTTTGTTATTATTTTCAAAAAACCCACTTTTGGTTCTGTTGATTATCTCTTTTGTTTTTCCATTCTCTGTATTTTTACTTCCCATTTCCACTCTCATGTTTATTATTTTCTTCCTTTTGTTCGCTTTGGGTTTAGTTCATTCTTTTTCTAGTTTCTCAAGGTGAAAGGTTAGGTTTTTGATTTGAGACTTTTCTTCTTTCTTTGAATGTAGACATTTACAGTTATAAATTTCCCTTTCAGCACTGCCTTAGCTGCATCTTGGAATTTTTGATATGCTGTGCTTTTTTTTTTTTTTTTTTTTTTTTTTTAAAGACAGAGTTTTGCTCTATTGCCCAGGTTGGAGTGCAGTGGTGCAATTTTGGCTTACTGCAACTTCTACCAGGTTCAAGCCATTCTCATGCCTCAGCCTCCTGAGTAGCTGGGATTACAGACGTGCATCACCACGCCCAGCTAATTTTTGTATTTTTTATAGAGATGGGGTTTCACCATGTTTCCCAGGCTGGTCTCAAACTCCTGGACTCAAGCGATCCTCCCGCCTTGGCCTCCCACAGTGCTGGGATGACAGGCATGAGCCACCGTGCTGGCCCGGGCTGTGCATTTGTTTGCATTCTTCTCAAATTAGTTTTCAGTTTCCCTGATGGTCTCTCTTTTGACCCACTGGTTGTTTAGGAGTGTGTAATTTCCACATATTTTTGAATTTCCCACATTTCCTTCACTGTTGATTTCTAGTTTCGTGCCAGTACAGCCGAAGAACACCTCTGCTTTGGTCTCAGTCCTTCTCCATTCACTGAGGCTCATTTTGTGGCCTGGCACGTGGTCTGTCGTGGGGAATGTCCCGTGGGCGCTCGAGAGGACTGTGTATTCAGCTGTTGTTGGGTGACGTGTGTGACAGATGTCCATTTGGTGTACCTGGTTTCCGGTGTTAATCTCCAGAATGTTTCTGACACTAGAAAATCAGAAGCTTTCCACCATTCCCAGCACCCTGGCTTTGGGAGAGGCCAGCGAGCCTGTGGGTTTGAAGCCTGGTTGTGTGAGAGAAGCATGTGTGGGAATGCCAGGGGCCGGCTTTGAACCCCATTCCCCCAACATGATGCCGTGTGTGGCAGACATGACGCTTGGCTTTGCTCTCTCAGGGTTCCATCTGCGACAGGGGCTACTTGTGCCCCTGGCCTCATCGGCTCGGGCTGAAGGCGGCCCTGGTCCTGGCCAGAGGGGCTTTGTGAAACAGAAATAGATGGCCTGGTGCAGGGGCCGAGCCTGGCCAGGACCTCGGCCCTGGGGGTTGTAAAGAAGGCCGGCCTCTACCACGAGCATCTGCACCAAGCTGTGCCCATGTCACGGTGTGCTCGGTGGCTGCCCTTGCACGGGTGCATGGCCTGTCTGCACTCAGGCTCCCCGCCTATGGAGCCCAGGCTCACAGAGGTGTGAAAGAGGTAAGCATGGCGCAGGGGCCTCCGAGCCCAGCCAGCCTCGCTTCAATGCTGGGAGGCTGATGTCTTCCTTTTTGTCTTCTGCCCAGGCCAGCTGTGGGCCGTGCAGTGGCTGTGCTACTTCTACAGCGCCATCATGCCCAGCGAGTCCCAGTGTGTCATCTACCACGAGCTCCAGCTCTCCCTGGCCCGCAAGGTGGCCGACAAGGTGCTGGAGGGGCAGCTCCTGGAGACCATCAGTCAGCTCTACCTGTCCCTGGGCACTGAGCGGTGAGGGCTGGCTTTGCAGTGGTGGGGGCAGGGAGGGGGGCAAAGGGGGTGGGGGAGCAGGGCAGGGAGGGGGGCACAGGGAAGCTGGCCCAGGGCCCCAGCAGCCCCTCTCCTTGGGATCATTTGGTTCCTTGGCATCAGATGCTTTGAGCTGGTGGGCCTGCGATCATCCCAGGGCCGATGATGGCCCGTGAGTCCCAGCTTGAGTCTCCCTTGTTGGGTGACATGTCTTCCCATCCCTGCCTGCACACCTCCCCAAAGGTCATCTCAACCCCAGCAGAGGCAGTATGTGCATTCTGGGCTGTTCTTCCTACTATGGTGGCTTTTGTCATCTGACCTCTGCCTGCCCCGAGTCTTCACTCCTGGCCTTCATCTGTCCCCTTAAATGTGACCACAGCAGCCACCTGTGGCTTCTCTCCCACAGAAGACAGAGCCAGTTGTGTCACCTGCTTCCCTGGGGCAGGGTTTCAAGGTCTCACGTCCCATATGTGGCCCACTCGGCTTCCCTAGAGCATCCTGACCTGGTGGGGTAACCATGGCCCTGGCCACCCCACCCACAGGGCCCAGTGACATTGCTGCAGTCACACCCCCTCGAGTGTCGGACTTACTGAGAGAGCAGGGAAGGAGCCAGATTCCATGGGGACCCTGGAGACTGGCTCCAGTCTTGGCCTCAGGTTCACAGAAGGAAAATGGATCAGTGTGCTAGAACCATGCTTCTCAAAGTGTGGTCCCTGGACCAGCAGAGCAGCATCCATGTCACCTAGGACCTTGTGCCGAGTGGGAGTTCTAGGGCCTGCCCCAGGCCTGTGGAGCCGGAAGCTCTGGGGGCAGGGCCAGCAAGCTATACGGACAGGCCTCCGGGTGACTGTGATGCCTGCACACCTGGAGAACCATCGGCCTAGATAGCCTCTGAACACTAACGGCTCCTGGTGCGTCTGGAGAAGACACAGGCCATGTCTGGGAGGCAGGGGAGATGGACTAGCACACTCCTCCTGCCACAGGGCAGCATGATGCTCGATTCCCTCAGAAGGATGCCCTTCATCTTTTCCATGACGTGTGTGTTCACCCTGGCCCTCCCAGCAGCCTGGGAAGAGCAGAACACTGCACATACAAGAGGGCCATTCCCAGTCCGCACATTCCAGACTCATCTGTCACCAGACCCACAGGAGGAGGCAGACTGGTTCCAGGAGGATGAGAGCCCTTGTTCTGACACTTGTGTCTGATTCCAGGGCCTACAAATCCGCTCTGGACTACACCAAACGAAGTCTGGGGATTTTCATCAACCTCCAGAGGAAAGAGAAGGAGGCGCATGCCTGGCTGCAAGCAGGGAGGATCTATTACATCCTGCGGCAGAGCGAGCTGGTGGACCTGTACATCCAGGTGAGTGGCAAGGGATGCAGGAGGACCCCTGTGCTGTTCACTCTCTGTCCATCCACCCATCCATTCATCCATTCATCCTTCTATCATCTATTTACCTGTTCATCCTTCCATCCATCCATCCATCCATCCATCATCCATCCATCCATCATCTATCCATCTGTCCATTCATCTATCATTCATCCATCCTTTTATCTTCCATCTATTCACCCATCTATCCATCCACCTGTCCATCCACCCATCCATTCATCCTTCCATCATCTATCTGTTTACTTGTTCATCCTTCCATCCATCCATCCATCATCCATCCATCCATCCATCATCCATCCATCCATCCATCCATCCATCCTTCCATCATCCATCAATTCACCTGTTCATCTTTCCATCCATCCATCCATCCATCCATCATCCATCCCTCCGTCCATCCATCCATCTCCATAAATGTACCTGACAGCAATAACTTAAGCAGACCCTGGGAACGACCTTTATGGCAGATGCACCTGAATATGTGTTCTAGGCTAAGGAATCTGGGAGTGGTCAATTGGAGATTCTTTCCTTGTCATCTGAGCCCCTGTCCTGTCCTATGGAACACGAGCTGTAGAGAGGATCGAAGCCTTGAGTTTTGGATTGCATGAAGGTTGCTAGGCGTAGAGTGGAGGTTGTTAGGGGGAGGGTGTTAAAAGATGCTATATAAGCTCTATGCCTTTTGAAAGCAGTTGCAGTTATCCAGGCCAGGCCTCCATCACTGGACTCTGTCTTGTATGTAACACCCCATGCTTCATTTGCTCTGTCTCTAGGTCTCTTCTTCCGCCTCTTGAACCTGGTGGCATCCCCACTGGAATCAATAGGGGTTTGGCACAACAGGTGTCTCCTTGATTTCTTTGTATTCTCCTAGCCAGCATTTTCCCTTGGTCAGGACCTCCCTCTTGTTTCCCTTTCCCTTTCTCAGCACTGATTAGGTCACTATTATAAAGATCTTGCAGGTAGGGTTTTAACTAAAAACAACAGGGTTTTCTAAGTGGGTTCCATGATGGGCCATGTGATCAGAAAGCCTTTATCATAGTTTTATGGATGATAACATCAGGCACAGCCATCATTCAAATATACAGGGGTTGTTTTGAAAGAGAAAAAAATGAGTCTGTTTTATTTGATCATCTGCAAACCAGTAACAGACCAAGTTCCAGGCACTGAACAATCAGCAAGTGACAAGATTGACAAGGCTGCAGGGTTCACCTGGGAAGGGCAGTCAGCCAGGACCCACCTCCATTTTCCTCTAGGTTTGCCAGCCTAGTAGTGGCCCTCAACCTGAATGGCAGCAATTTAATAAAAGAAATTGTCCTCCCACAGAACTGGAACCCAAATGTTGCCACAGAGCCAGAAATTTCAGGAGTGCTTGGAACACTTACATAGTCAAAGGTCCTGCCCAGCTGGCCTCTCAGTGGAGGCCAGTTCCCTCCTACCCCTCCCCTTTGCTTTCTGGTTTTAGGAACTGTCCTTTTCCCCGCTCCTGATATTTTGCTTGAGACCAGCACCTCTCTTCTCTGTTCTTCTCCCCAACATCCTGTTTCAGAAAACAACACACTGCCTGTGTCCTTAGAGGCTCACTCGCAGCCCTTTTCTGCCAGTGCAGCAGACAGCTGTTGCACTCACATTGGCTTCGCTTCTGTGAGAATCCCCTCCATCTCGCTGCGTAAATAGAATGCATCCGGAGAAAACCCCAGGCCAAGTGGCACAGGTGCTGAGAGTCAGAAGTAGGGCAGGCAGGCACTGAAGTGGTGAGTTCCACAGGGATGACGGCAGGCACACCATATGTGACAGATGCACAGTGTCCTCAAAGCTGCATCGCGAGCTGTCCTGGGCTTCACACTCACTCAGGCTTGATGGAAATCCTACTTTTCTTTCAATCTTATGAAATAGTTCAGAGGAATTCAAATAGGTCTCTTTCTAAAAAACTGTACATGCATTTTATGATGATAATGATTATTACTGTCATTATTATTATGATCAATAGAGACAGGGTCTTATCATATTGCCCAGGCTGGTGTCCAACTGTTGGGCTCAAGCGATCCCCCCGCCTCAGCCTCCTGAAGTGTTAGTATTACAGGTGTGAGCCACTGTGAATGGCCCAATATTACTGTTGTCATTACTGTTATTTTGCGTAGGCTGTGTATTAGAGTTCTCTAGAGGGACAGAACTAACAGTATATATATATATATATACACACACACACACACATACACACACACACAAATGTATATACACAAATATATACACACACACATACATATGTATATGTACACACACATATATACAAATAAAGGAGAGTTTATTAAGTATTAACTCACACGATCACAAGGTTACACAATAGGCCATCTGCAGGCTGAGGAGCAAGGGGAGCCAGCTCAAGTCCCAAAACTAAAAAACTTGGAGTCCGATGTTTGAGGGCAGGAAGCATCCTGCACAGGGGAAAGATATTGGATGGGAGGCTAGTCCAGTCTAGCCTTTTCAGGTTTTTCTGCCTGCTTTATGTTCTAGCCGAGCTGGCAGCTGATTAGATGGGGCTCACCCAGATTAAGGGTGGGTCTGCCTTTCCCAGCCCACTGACTGAAATCTTAATCTACTTTGGCCACACCCTCAAAGACACACCCAAGATCAATGCTTTGCATCCTTCAATCCAATCAAGTTGACAGTACTCACCATCAGAGGCTGGTTAAAGTTGGTGACCTTTGCGGGTAGAACTTCTCACAGTACAGCTAGTTTGAGTAATGAATGGGTGAGGAAAACTTGGCTCACTTGAAGATGGTTCAAGTGATTTCTACCACACAGTATGTCCCCTAAGTGAAAGACACTAACATCGTGAACACTTCCCACGAAATATGCTTTTCCATTTAGATCCTACAGGGCAAGCCTATTCCAACTCTCTTCATCACAGGGTATGAGAAGTAAGAAACAAAACATAGGTATGAACATATGTTGAACATGATCAAACTTAAAAGGCAAACACATTGGAAAAAAAGTAGACTTGCCACATATCTCAGGTTCAAAGACAGCCTTGATCTATCAAAATATGCAAAAATGAAAATTCCAAAAGGAAAAAGATATATGCATACTCGATTAACATACAAAAATCTGTTAGCAAAGAAAAGCAAATTAAAATGGCAGGTCCCTACAGACAACAACTATCACTTGGGAAAAATGTATCAAAATGATAAAGCCCACGGCTGGTGCAAATATTGAGGATGGCCTCTCCTGCCCTCTGCTGGTGGGAATTTAAACTACAGTAGTATGGTAAGTCCTTTCTGGAGCTTGTTTGATAATATCAATCAAAAGTCTTTAAAATAGCCGGGCGCGGTGGCTCAGGCCTGTAATCCCAGCACTTTGGGAAGCCAAGGTGGCTGGATCACAGGTCAGGAGATCGAGACCATCCTGGCTAACATGGTGAAATGCCGTCTCTACTAAAAATACAAAAAATTACCCAGGCGTGGTGGCCGGTGCCTGTAGTCTGGAGTGCTTGGGAGGCTGAGCCGGGAGAATGGCGTGAACCCGGGAGGCAGAGCTTGTAGTGAACACAGATGGCGCCACTGCACTACAACCTGGACGACAGAGCAAGGCTCTGTCTCAAAAAACAAAGAAACAAACAAACAAAAAAAACCAAAATACAAAAATTAGCTGGGCATGGTGACATGCACCTGTAGTCTCAGCTACTCCGGAGGCTGAGGCAGGAGAACTGCTTGAACCTGGGGGGCAGAGGTTGCAATGAGCCAAGATCGTGCCACTGCACTCCAGCCTGGCAACAGAGGAAGACTCTGTCAAAAAAAAAAAAAAAAAAAAAAAGAGTCTTTGAAATGTTTGTGTCTTTTGATCTAGTGATTCCAATGCTACAGCTTTTACCAGGGGAATAATCACAGCTGTGTAGAAAGAGACACACATTTTTATTGTGTTTTTATACAATGAGTGGAAGACCTTTCTAAAACTAGCTTTCTTCTTGGAATGAAGAACAGTATCCCAAATGACAGATATTAACATTAACATTTACTGAGCACTTCCCACATGCCAGGTGCTTTCTAAGAGCTTTACCTGTATTCTCATTCCTGGAGGTGCTCATAGAATACCTGGGGACCAAGGGGGCAGCTACATGGCACAATGAGAGAACAGGGTAGTACTGGTCTGGCCTCAGAGTTGCAAGTAACAGAAAACAACTGAAATTAAAGTTAATTTGAAAAAAAAAAAGGAAAATTTAACCATCTGTAAAGTCTCAGCAATGGATAATAACAGTTAAGATTTATTGAGAGTTTTCTATGGGCTGCTCTAAGGGCTCTGCATGTATTAATACTTTTAATCTTTACCCAATCCTGTGAGGTGGATATTATTCTTAACCCCATTTTGCAAGTGAGGAAACTAAGGCAAAGAGTGGATAAGACGCTTGCTCAAGGTTGAAAGAGTCAGCAATGACAGAACCGGTAATGACAGCCAGGCAGGCAGCTAGCTCCAGAGCTCAGTTCCTTAACAGGGTTAACTAAGGCTTAGCTAGATCAGGGAGGCGGTGCAATGCTACCAAGACCTCTTAGCTTGCCTCTCAGCACTTTCTTCCCATGTGGGCTCCCCTGTTTCCAGAACAGCAGCCCCCAAGCCCAAACTGACCTCACAGCTCACCATATCAAAGCAACTGTGAACATCTTCCCAGCCTAAGACCTGGACTATAAGAGGTCTGTTTTGGGTCTTGTACCCTCCCCTAGGACAGGGTCAGTCTCTGGAAACTGAGCAGGACCACTATAGAAAGCAGCAGTAGTGGTTTCTCAGAGGAAGGGTTGTAGGCAGACACGTGTATGTCCATATTGAAGACAAGTTAGCTGTGCTCAAGGACCTGCTATGTGCTCGGTGTTTGCAGGGCACTGGGGCATACTAAGACATGGTTGGTTCTCCCAATCAACTGGGGGAAACACAGGCAAAAGGAAAATAGCAATAAAGCTTGGTAATTCTCGGAAGAGAGACATGAACAAAGAGTAGCTGGAACCCAGGGACAAGGGAATACTGATCAAGGGGTGAACAGGTGCCAGATCTTGACAGCCCGGCAGGCCAAATAAAGGAGTAGCGAATAGTAACTACTGATGTTTGGAGGCAAACTATATATGCCAGGCACTAAGCTAAACGATAAACATGTATCTTCACTCCAATACCTGATGTTTCACAGATGAGCAAAACTGATACTCAGAACAATAAAATAACTTGCCCAAGGACCCACAGTGATGGAGGCAGGATTCAACAGTCTATAAACACCTTGGATTTCACCATGTTGCTAAGCGGAGGCCAGCAAAGGTCACAATGAAATTCATTGTTCCCCACAAGTAATCCACATTGAAAATGAAAACGTCTTAATTGGTAGCAAATCTGGTATCACATATCTATCTATAATTAGGGTGCCACAGTACACACATTGAAGGATTTCTATTCTTTTTCTTTTTTTTCTTTTTTCTTTTTTTTGAGAGAGAGTTTCACTCTTGCTGCCCAGGCTGGAGTGAAATGGGCGGTTGTGGCTCACTGCGGCCTCCACCTCCTGGGTTCAAGCCATTCTCCTGCCTCAGCCTCCCAGACAGCTGGGATTACAGGTGCTTGCTACCACGCCCAGCTAATTTATTTATTTATTATTATTTTTTTAGTAGAGATGGGGTGTTTCACCATGTTGGCCAGGCTGGTCTCAAACTCCCGACCTCAAGTGATCCACCCACCTGGGCCTCCTAAAGTGCTGAGATTACAGGCGTGAGCCACCACACATGCCCAAAGGGCTTCTTTAATGGACCTCAGAAACGAAGATGTGGTCATTAAATACTGGAATTTTTCCAACCTGCTTTTAAGTATCAATATGGTGTGCAAGTAGTGCCATTTAAAATTGCAGATAAAAAAACTCTGGAAGGATTTCAGATCCAAATTCAAAGGCCCCGAAACCACAAAAGGAGAAACCTGATCTGACCTGAACATACCATGTATGGGAACCTGGGATAGCAGCGATGCTCTTGGGAGTATTCAGTTACCAGGGAGGCCCTGCACTGACCCTTTTTCGAGGAGACAATCAACAGAAGATTGTATTTGATGGGGCAAATTCACTTCCTGTTAACAAGGCTCCTAACCCTGTACGAGAGAGACAAGAAGGGAGGGCAAAGACTTTAGCTGGCTTTGAAGAAACGAATCCAGTTCTTTAGGAGTCTTGAAAGGAAAAAAAAAAAAAAAAAAAAAAACCCAGAAAATAAAGGAGGTATTGTTTAGAAAGGCCATATGATCCACCCAGTTGTTAAATCCTGTGCTCCAAAGGGTGAAGAAAGGCTGAAGAAATGATAAATCAGTAGAGATTTGGTACTTCTCTCTTTTTTTTTTTTTTTTTTTTTTTTTTTTTTGAGATGGAGTCTCGCTCTGTTGCCCAAGCTGGAGTGCAGTGGCACGATCACTGCAACCTCCTTCTCCCAGGTTCAAGCGATTCTCCTGCCTCAGCCTCCAGAGTAGCTGGGATTACAGGTGCTGGCCACCACGCCTGGCTAATTTTTGTATTTTTAGTAGAGACAGAATTTCACCATGTTGGCCAGGCTGGTCTCGAACGCCTGACCTCGTGAATCGCCCGCCTCAGCCTCCCGAAGTGTTGGGATTACAGGCATGAGCCACCGCGCCCAGCCGGCACTCTTTTCTTAAATATTCATTACTTTCCTTTTACAAACACCCCAACACATAGTAGATATTAAACAGTGCCTACTAATTCAAATTTTACTTCCTATGTAGCTCACTTGCTCTCCACCCCTGTATTCAATCCACCTGAAATCACTCTCCCTGCTCTCCCACACTCCAGCAGAATAAACTGCCCTTTACATGTACAGTGCTTCTATTATGCCCCATGTACAGTGTTTCTATTATGGCACTGTATTGAAGCTGCTTCCTCTACTAGATTCTTACTTCTGTCCTCACCACTTTATCACATGCAGCCGCTCAGAAAATGTTGGCTACATTGATGAAGTGCTTTCACACATTTATAAATACAGAGTTACCTTGTAGTACACCTCTGTGGTTTTCTTTGGACCAGGAGCTCCTCACGTGCAAGGCCATGTCTTACTCATCTTTATCTCCACTGCTGGCATGGTGCCTAACAGCTCCTAGCAAATAGTAGGTGCTCAGCAAACGTTTGCATGGTTAAACCCACCATTTCTCAGCACATGACTCGGTGGGAAAGGGTTGGGAAGAGTAATACGCGGGATTACTGACGGAGAAAAAGTTGTGAACTCGTAACACACAGTTCGTGGGCGTGAGTAGTGTGGAAAACTGCACTTTGCTGGGAAACTAGTTCCCTCGGTTCAGGCTGGGAGGATTTTTCACAAGTGGCGAGGAGAAGGCTCACGTGAACCACATACAGGTGCTTCTCACTGAAACGCACAACAAATCTAGAGCCAAGTGTAATAACGAAACGGGCCCCAAGAAGTTTATTTAATGCCCAGGGGTCCTCAAGTGGTCACTGCCAGGCTTTGGCATCCTGTTCAGCAGGCCTTTCTCCTCCTTTCAAATCTTGCTGGGCGACTCCTGAAAAGCAAAAAGTAGGAAAGAAACTGGGGGCTGAGGATGGAGGCCCGGACAGAGGGTATCTCTCCTGCTCTGGCATCCGGGAGTCTGCGAGGGCTTCGGAAGCGCAGCGTGTCACTGTCTCGCATCCCGGACCTGGACGCATCCTGCGGCAGCGGTAATCCTGGTCCTTCTGGGCTTCCATAGGTCGGAATAAACTTGGGAACCTTTCGACCCGTAAAGCTCAATGTTTTAAAATTCAAATCGCACCTGCCGGCGTGAGAGCGAAACCCTTCAGGCCGACTCCATCCTAGCTGCTCCTTAACGAAAACCGCGAAGAGAACACAGTCTCCAATCCAAACGCCAGGAGGCCCAACTCCGGAGCCGACGCCGGAAGCGCTCTGCCTGACGTCACTTCCGTCGCGTTTTGGGGCGGTACCAAGATGGACTCTTCACGGGCTCGGGAACAGCTCCGTCGGCGATTCCTCCTCTTGCCGGACACCGAGGCCCAGCTGAACTGCGAGAGTAACGCCAGGCCGGGTGAGGCGCGCACCAAGCCGCCCCGAGGTTCTCAGAGGCGAGGCGCTGGAAAATGACTGGCCTCCGGCAGCCCCGGCCCAGTCTGAAGGGACCGAGTTTCGGTTTTGCAAGTCGAATATTTAATGTCAGGGAAGAGCCTTAGAATCGCGTAGTACTGTGCATCGTCATCTCAGCTGCGCTTCAGAATTCTCTGGAGAGCTGATTTGACACCTGTTTGGAAATATCGATTAAAATTAAAAATACCCACCGGTTCTAAGTCTTAAGAATTTACCAGAAACATGCCTGTATCGCAGTGTACAATGATGTGGGCGGAGTGTTTCACCTCAGCATTGCTTGCAATAGCGAATCACTAGAAATACCTGTCTTGCCCGTCAGCAGAAGGCTGGTTAAGTAAATTTGGATATGTGTATACATGATACGCCAGGTCGATTTGTATGTACCAATGGGGATGATTTTCAAAGGGAAGTGCGGAACACTATGGTATGCCGCCATTTGGGTACAAAACAGGTAACCTGTGCTGTATGTTCACCTGTAGATGCATAGAATATGGAAGAATTCAGTAGAAATTGTAAGTGGTGGTTGCTTCTGGGGATTAGATCTGAGGTTAAGGATGGGAGTCAGATACCTCATTTTGGATATTTGTATCCCTTATGTTTTAAAACCGTGTCCATTTATTACCTTTTCAAAATAAACACGAATAACCTGATGCCCAGGCATGATGATGTATACATTTTGAGGATATTCCAGAATATTATGAACATGCTCCGTAGGGTTTCCGATGGTCATCTAAAGGCCCAAAACCTCAGATGTGGACCATTCATTCTCACGTGAACATAGAGGGCATGTCAGAATCCTCGGAAAACTTTCTAGAAATCTTCCATCTGACCCAACCCCCATCCACCCTTTCTTTCGGATTGCGTTCCAGACAGGAAAAATGACTTGTCCATCACCTGTCTAGACAGGGCTGTGCTGGAACTAGAGCTCTGGTGTGCCGTTTCCACTTTTGAGCTGTGTTTAAAGTAATGAAAAGATTTAGTTATAGGCTGGGCACGGTGGCTCACGCCTGTAATCCCAGCACTTTGAGAGGCCGAAGCAGCCTGATCACGAGGTCAGGAGTTCGAGACCAACCTGGCCAAAGAGACCAGCCTGGCCAACATGGTGAAACCCCGTCTCTACTAAAAATACAAAAATTAGCCGGGCGTGGTGGCAGGCGCCTGTAATCCCGGCTACTCGGGAGGCTGAGGCAGGAGAATTGCTTGAACCTGGCAGGCGGTGGTTGCAGTGAGCCCAGATGGAACCATTCCATTCCAGCCTGGGCGACAGAGGGAGACTCTGACTCAAAAAAAAAAAATGGAATTTAGTTATAAAAGTGTTCTTGAAAGACCACAAGTCCAGTTCATGCGCTACCATTTGCCTTTGGCATTTTTCCTGATCAGCAGGACTAATTCCTTTCCTAGAAGAAATGTGAAACATATTAAAATTCTTACATTTCCAGGTGGCATTGTTATTTCTGAAAGACGATGAAAATGTAAATTTGATTTCAAAATATATTTAGAGGAAATAAATTGACTGTATTTGTTAGTGGGCTCTTATTATTTTTTGTAAATATAAACCTATCTCAAGGGTTTTTTTTTTTTTTTTTTTTTTTTTTGAGACAGATTCTCGCTCTGTCGCCCAGGCTGGAGTGCAGTGGCCGGATCTCAGCTCACTGCAAGCTCTGCCTCCCGGGTTTATGCCATTCTCCTGCGTCAGCCTCCCGAGTAGCTGGGACTACAGGGGCCCGCCACCTCTCCGGGCTAGTTTTTTGTAGTTTTTAGTAGAGACGGGGTTTCACTGTGTTAGCCAGGATGGTCAAGGGTTTTACAGAAGAATTTGTTATCATGGGAGAGACTGGTTCTTAGCTCTAGGAAATGATTTTATTTGGCTTAAATTAAGTGTAATTTTTCCTCGCAAAATTATGGTAACTTAATAAGTTGAAATCTCCCTTATTTGCAGAAACCTCCACAGCTGTTCAGAAAAAGGAGAAACCTCTTCCAAGACTTAATATCCATTCTGGATTCTGGATTTTGGCATCCATTGTTGTGACCTATTATGTTGACTTCTTTAAAACTCTTAAAGAAAACTTCCACACTAGCAGGTAAGAAAACTTTATTGCTTCATAAATTAAACGCATGTCTGATTTTTCGTGTTATATTTTGTTAGTTGAATTCTTCAAACGGTAAGCACCTACTCTCTGCCAGGCCCTGTGTTGGAGGTGCTGGTGGTACGAAGATGAATATGAGATGGGGATCAAAGGGTACATATTTTTAGTTGTAAGATGAATAAGGTCTGGGGATTTAATGTACATACAGTATGGTGACTATAGTTAATAATGCTGTATTGTATACTTGAAATTTTCTAAGAGTAGGTCTTATGTCTTCCCCCGTTCCCTGACCAGTGGTAACTGAGGTGATGAGTATGATAATTAACTTGATTGTGGTAATCATTTCACGATGTGTGTATATATATATATATATATATCAGGTCATCACATTGTACATCTTGAATATATAAAATTTTAATTTGTCCATTATACTTCAATAAAGATGGAAAAAATAAAACCAATGGGAGGGTGTGTGCTTTGGGCATACACAGTAGAGTGGAAGAGAACTGGAAGTTATTTTTATGCAAATAAATATATTGTAGGATGACGAAGGTAAGAAATTTAAGAAGGACCTAATCCTTTTGGGGAAAAAAGGAGGGAGAAAGACTGACTGAAGGTCTTCATGAAGACCAAGTACAAGAGTACTGGGAGGAAGGATTGAGAACTGTGGCCGGTGAGAACCGGGTCTCAAGGTTGGTTTCAGAGGGTACTTACAGCTGACAAGGTAACTACGGGGTGTGACTGCGTTGGAGTGCAGGTGAAGGTCAGCAGTGGGAGGAGTGCGAGCTTTGTGGCCAGGCCAGATGTACAATAGTTCCTCATTCACAGGGACTGAGATCCCTTCAGTATAGTCTCCAGAGCTGACATGCAGGAGAGGGTTGGAATCATATCCTAGGGTCCTTACTGCACATTGGAGAGTGATGTGGAAACCCTCAGATAATAAACGGAAAGGAGAGGTATGTTGGTGAGCAGCAGAGCTGGCATTGGGAGGGCTGGTGTGCTTAGGGTCAAGAGTAGTAATTTGGAAGTACCAGTAGGATTAGGAAGATGCAGACAGGACTGTGGTCCCCTGGTATCACGGCAGGACACATGATTTCTCCTCAAGGGCCTTCAGGAGGAGCAGTGATTTCTGGCGGGGGAGACTGTCGAGCCACATGGAACAAGCCCTCAGGGGAAAGTAGGCAGAGGGGAGTTTATTTAAACTGTCCTCTACTTTCTAGGGGAGAAACTTTCCCTAAACACTCCCATCTTCTGCCCTTCCATGTCACTCACTCCTTTGTGGGAGGTGGTGTGACTGATTGAGTGTGTGATGAAGAATTGGACAAAGGTAGCTCAGCACCTTCTTCTCCTGCACGTCAGCTGCCCGTAGGAAGTGCAGAGTCTGGTCTGCCTTCCCATGGTGTCATTTCATGGGGGCAGCCCTCACAGGAAAAGGTCTCTAGGTTTTCATTTTGACCTGGAACCCAGTGGGTAAGCCTGCCGGTTTCTGGGTCTCAGAGACCCGGTATTAGGAAGTGCTTTGTCACCACTCACCAAAGCCATATTCTTCCCACCGCTGCATCAGTATAACAGACATTTAATCTTCATCAGCTTGACTCAGTCATCTGTCTTAGAATGTGGCCTGGGAAAAGAGGGATGGATACTTTATTTTTATTTTGAGACAGGGTCTCGCTGCGCTGTCACCCTCCAGTGGTGCGATCATGGCTTACTGCCTTGACTTCCTAGGCTCAAGTGATCCTCCCACGTCAACCTCCCAGGTAGCTAGGATTATAGGCGCACACCACCTTCCCTGGCTAATTTGGTTTATTTTTTATAGAGACCAGGTCTCTTCATGTTGTCTAGGCTGGTCTCAAACTGTTGGGCTCAAGTGATCCTCCCACCTTGACTTCCTAAAGTACTGGGATTACAGGTGTGAGCCACTGCACCTGCCTGGAGGGGAGGGATACTTTAATCACCACCAACAGCAGCTGCTCTTTCCTTCATTAGAGACTTTATGGAACCTGAGACGTGTTTGACTGTGGGTGCCAAACACATGGAAGGTGCATTTCTAGCTCTCCAACAGCTCATTTTAGGCTGCAGCAGACAAGTGACCAGGTCTCGTGTGTGCTCTGTAAATGTAGGCGCAAGATATTATGGGAGCGTCTAGGAGGGGTACCTAGTCCAGGTCAGCCTCAGGACTGAGATCTTTTTGAGGTTTTAGGAGATGTGAGATAACTTCTCTATTTGTGTCCTTTTATTGGGTATTTCTGGTAGTTTAAAGAAATGGCAGAGTAAGAAATGATCACACATAAGATGTTTGGGGGCAACTGCAGTGAAGTGGAGTGCCCAGGCCACACAGCTGCTGTGTGGCGAAGCCGGGATGCAGACAATGGGACCAGGGCTGTGGGGGTTGGAAAAAATAAGTAGAAGTCGTAGATCTGTCCTCAACAAGGTGTCATCTTAGAGAGCAAAAGGCATAAATGCATTCTCAAAGGCTGAGGATTTTGAGTCGCATTGTTTTCTTGGGAAGGACTCATTAAGGGGTGTTGGAGGGTATTGAGCAGCCATGAAATGAGAGGGCGGCACAAGAGACAGTGCTGGCTGAGTTCTGCTTTTGGAAAATGGCTAAAATGGCTTGTTCCTCTGACACCTGAGGTGATTTCTTTTTCCCCTGGCTGTAGCCTAAGTTTAGAAGCTTGAGGCCTTAAGGTTCTTTA